ATTTATTTTGTTTTTAATAATTTATATAATAGGCTGGTATTTAATAAAATCAGTCAGGCTGGTGGTTAGAAAATCTCTTTAATTTAATAGACAATCTACGAGATATCTAGACAAAAATTTTTTTTATATATATTTAACAGAAACTTGAATATCTTAATATACAGTAAATGCATAGTGACTATATAGTTACTATTAAATTTAATAGTAACTATATAGTTACTATATTATTACTATATATTGAGATATTCAGATTTCTGTATAGTATATATAAATTTTACTATATACTCAAAAGTAAAGTACATCTATTTAAAACATTTTTTTTTACTAAGTAAATTACTTTTAGGCTTTTAATAATAGTTGTAAACTTATCAAGATGCATCTAATAGTGGTAAGAATATTAAAATTGGCCTGGTGGTTCTTGAAAAATCTTTAAAAAACATTTTGCTGACATATAAAATTTCTTTATATGTTAGTAAAACATTTTTTAAAGATTTTCTAAGAACTACCAAGCTAATTTTAACATTCTTATTACTATTAGATACGTCTTAATAAACTCTACAACTATTGTTAGAAGCTCAAAAGTAATTTACTTAATAAGAAAAAAGTTTTAGATAGGTGTATTCTACTTTCGGGTTTATTATAAAATTTATATATATATAAAAAATTTTTTTGTCCAGATATCTTGCAGACTGCCTATTAATTTTAAATAAAACTATAATTTTTAGAAATTTATAATACTGGAGATTTTATTTATTATCAAGAAAATAGCATAAGGTTGGGACAAATTCGAGCTATAGTTTTAGCAAATGAAATTCTAAAACTAAAGATTCAAAAAATTATTAAATTTGACGAACTTCCAAAAAATATTCAAAGCAACAATCATCAAGTTAGTTCTCAATTAGGAGAGGTGTAGTTAGTTGACCAAGTTATTAATAATCTGGTCAACAAGCAAAAAGTCATTGGGCATGCAAGCGTTACTATCTCATCTTATAGCAAAGAACATTATTCTTACTATATAAATGAGATTATTTATAAATTTAAAGGCCATTGGAAGATTCGAAATATCTTATTGGAATATCAGCATCCTTCTGAATATGCAACAGTTTCTTTACCACCAAGTGAAAATATGCCAGTTCTTAAAGTATTTTTAGATCTTTATTATGATGATTTTGGAACATATCGAAATGTATATCATTCACTTGGTGGTGTTTATATACAATTTGGCAACATGCCAATATCTTTAAGGCAACAGTTAAAAAATCATTTTGTGTTGGGATTTGTACCCTTTGGTGGATCATTTGAAGAATTTATTAAACCATTTATTATGAATATAAAGTCTTTAGAAAGTGGTCAAATAATGAATATTCAAGGTCAAGAATACTGGGTTATTGCTAGTCTTGGGGCAGTTACAGCAGATCTTCTACAAGGAAATGATCTTGCTGGTGTTAAAAGACATGGTGCAAATAAGGGATGCTGAACTTGTCAAGTTTCTAAAGAACATTTAACAAATAATGATTTAGATTTTAAAAATTTGTCAAGATATCAGCATATTACTAATAGCCAATTTGATGAAATTATATCAGCTAAATCTATACAAGAGCGTAAATTAGTTGCAACTAAA